ATCTTCCAATTCTGAACTATAACCTTTAACAAACATGTATCACAAAATTAAAATGCACAAGGACTTTTAAGCATTAGCATTTATTTCATGATCCCTTACTTTATATCGGGTCCAAAAAAATGGAACTCAAAAAGGTTTTTCAGTATTTTATATATTTTATAATTATTTATTAAGATATGGAAAACAGCCGAAACCAGTTTGGCTCAGCAGACACGGTCTGCGGACTGAAAGGTCCTAGGTTTGATTCCGGTCAAGAACATGTACCTACCGGGGATGTGCCAGAGGCAGCTGGTCGATGTTTCTCTCTCATCGACGTTTCTAGCTCTCTCTCTCTCCCTTCCTCTCTGTAAAAAATCAATAAAATATATATTTTTAAAAAAAAGATATGGATAACAGTACTAAACAATTTTAATGATCGCTCTGCATAGACAGAAACCATAGGTGCCAGGAAAATACTGTCCCGGTTGAAAAGGCTGAGAAAACTCTTGCCTTTGTAGATGATCTTGACTGGTTACATTTTTCTGTTTGTAATTACTACAGTTGGAGGTGTAATTTAAGGGATAGTCTAAAAGTTTGCCAGTAGACAAAGACTTCCACACCATTTCTAATGACTCAAAACAAAGGTTTCAAAAGTGACCCTCCCAGGACTATGGTTGTTGTCCCTTCAGTTAGCTCCTGAGGGAAAAGAAATATTTTAAAACATTATGGAAATGCATCAGAAAGAAAATGCAGAATGTGAAAAATTCTACCAAACTATGATTTAACAAAACAAAAAAAACTAAAGCGAATAAAAGTAGTGACAGAACTGCAGAAGAGAAATCTTATGAAATTTACCAACCAATTGCAATGTATAATCGTTACTTAGATCCTGATGTAAACAAAACATATTGACTGAGATGTTAATTTTAAAACAGGTCTGTGAAATTTAACCCTAACTGGATATGATACAAAGGAATTGCTGTTATTTTAGGTGTGGTAATAGAAATACAATTTCAGTATTTAAAGTCCTTATCTTTTTGGAGATATATACTGAAATATTTATAGTAAAGTGGTTTGATTAGGATTTCTTCAAAATAACCCAGAGGAGGTGGACATATGATGACACAAGTTTGGCTAATGGTTGAAAAATATCAAAGTAAGGGTAATACATTCATAAAAAATTTATTATTAAAAAATATATTTTATTGATTTTTCACAGAGAGGAAGAGAGAGGGATAGAGAGTTAGAAACATCGATGAGAGAGAATCATCGATCAGCTGCCTCTTGCACACCCCCTACTGAGGATGTGCCCACAACCAAGGTACATGCCCTGGAATCGAACCCGGGACCCTTCAGTCCGCAGGCCGACGCTCTATCCACTGAGCCAAACCGGTGCCGGCCATTCATAAAAAATTTAAAATGATGATACAATCACTAATTTATTTCTCTATCCTAAAAATAATCATTAAGATAGCTCAGTAACTTGAAGGAATGCTTATTTTAGAATGCTAAATGAACAAAATGTACCTGTCAAAATTTCAAAAGCATAAAATATGTCCTGGGGGAAAATTTTTTTTTAAGTATAATGTTAAGGAAGAAAAGGAAATAGGAAAACCAAATTAAAAGTGTGGGTTAGCTGATTATTTTTATCTGCTAGTATTACACTACTGTCATTAGACATTGCTAACAAATTCAGAAGTAATCAAGTAATTTAATCTACCTAAGAAGGCTAGGTATAAAATAGTGAAGGAGCCCAGAGTAAACTAGAGAATGCATGGCTCACCATAAAGGTACTTATAAAGTACTTATAAAATAAATACTATGATACATAAAATCTGTTCTAACCAGATATTCAAACACCCTTACTTTGCCCTGACCGGTTTGGCTCAGTGGATAGAGCGTCGGCCTAAGGATTCAAGGGTCCCAGGTTCAATTCCAGTCAAGAGCACGTACCTTGGTTGCAGGCACATTCCCAGTAGGGGGTGTGCAGGAGGCAGCTGATCGATGTTTCTAACTCTCTATCCCTCTTCCTTCCTCTCTGTAAAAAAATCAATCAACCAATAAATAACAAATACCCTTAATTTTAGGGTCACTTATTGACTAAAGCAACCTACCACTAAAGAACGAAAGAAGGAAGAAGTAACAATCAATCCAGGATGAGACAGGAAAACCAGACCAACTGGTCACTCTATTCACTTCACACATATATATAAACTGAGGGATAGTTTGCTTGCTTGCTTGTGCTTAAGTGAACTGCCAAAAGTCAAAATGATTTAGCCTCAGAAGAACTGGAGACTGGAGCCCAGAGGGGCACAGGTTTGCCCTAAGTCAGTGTTAATTACTAGAGGCCAATACTAGAACCCAAGAAGCCCGACACTGTCCAGATTGAGCTATTATTTAGTACCACTTCCTTTCCTTTCTGTTTAATTATGTGTTCTGCTCACTTTTCCATAGAGATTCTCCCCAAAGAAGTGTTCTTCAATCAACTCACTCTAAAAGGCCAAAAAATAATGTATACAGAAAAGTGAAGAATGTCAAATGCTTAACAAAAATCAATCCATCACCGAAACCGGTTTGGCTCAGTGGATAGAGCATCGGCCTGCGGACTGGAAGGTCCCAGGTTCGATTCCAGTCAAGGGCATGTACCTTGGTTGCAGGCACATCCCCGGTAAGGGGTGTGCAGGAGGCAGCTGAGTCATTATTTCTCATTGATATTTCTAACTCTCTATCCCTATCACTCTCCTTCCTCTCTGCAAAAAAAAAAAAATCAATAAAATGTATTTTTAAAAATAAATAAATAAAATCAGCTTCCCCAACAAAAGAAACTGCTGCTTAAATAAGTACTAATTAGCCCTAACCGATTTGGCTCAGTGGACAGAGTGTCTGCCTGCAGACTCACGGGTGCAGGTTTGATTTCGGTCAGGAGCATGTACCTTAGTTGCCAAGTGTGGAGTGTGCAGGAGGCAGCCGATTGATGTTTCTCTCTCATTGATGTTTCTGACTCTCTATCCCTCTCTGTAAAAAATAAAATAGCCGAAACCGGTTTGGCTCAATGGATAGAGCATCGGCTTGGGGACTGAAAGGTCCCAGGTTCGATTCCGGTCAAGGGCATGTACCTTGGTTGCGGGCATATCCCCAGTTGGGAGTAAGCAAGAGGCGGCTGATCGATGACTCTCATCGATGTTTCTAACTCTCTCTCTCCCTTCCTCTCTGTACAAAATCAATAAAATATATTTTTTTTAAAAATAAATAAAATATATTTGAAAAAAATAAAATAATCACCTCTAAATGAGTTTTTTTAAAGTACTAATTAGCAAATTATACCAAAATCCAAAAAATTGCAATTCTCTACCAAATAAATTTTAAAAAATAAAACAATAAAATGAGCACCTCAAAAAAGGAAAACACTATCCTTTCCATTTCTAGAAACTTACCTTTTCACACCTTCTTTTTGCAGATTTGAAATCCAGATTCTCACACAATCACCGGCCTTCACTTCTGTTTGATTCAATAGCATACACACAGCTGAGTCTCTCTTTCGTTATTAAATACATCAGTAGAAAGCACACTAATCTTATTTTGTTTCCTAACTATGAAAACCAAAGAGCAAAAGTTCTAAAGTCAAAATTACAAAAGAAAAAAGAAAAGAAAAACAAAAACTTGGGATTAAAAAACGTGCAGAAATAATTGTAAAGACTCCCAATTTTTCGTAAAAATAACTGTTAAGGTTTCCCATTTTTTTGCCCCAAATATCATACTTTGAAATGTATTTTGAATAGATTTTGCCCCCCAAATGGGAAAGGACTCTTGCACCTTAATAGGAGGGCAAGGAGTTAAAATTAAAACATACTAAAATAAGCCAATTCCAAACAGGTGAGATACCAGTGTGTGTGCTGTTGCAGGAAAACAGAATGGAGAGCCAGGAATGGGAGTCTGCACTTCATATCTGCAAAAGAAGAGTGAAAAGGTTACCTCAACTCTACAGACTATCTTCCTTACCTATTTAAAACATTTTTTTAAATACTTTTTTATTGATTTTTCACAGAGAGGAAGGGAGAGGGATAGAGAGAAACATCGATGAGAGAGAACATCGACCAGCTGCCTCGTGCACACCCCCCACTGGGGAGGTGCCACATGCCCTTGACAGGAATCGAACCTGGGACCCTTTAGTCCGCAAGCCGACGCTCTATCCACTGAGCCAAACCGGTTTCGGCCTTCCTTACGTATGTAAAGCAATATTTAAAGTCAAAAGACGAAAATGTACTGGATAAAACAGACTTGTGCGTGAACTTACTTGATACTATATCTACAGCATTAGAAGTCGGTAGGCGAACACACACACCACACCACCTTGATAGTGAAGGTTTAAAAAAAAAAAATCCAATCTCTTCGTTAGACTTTCCTTAGCACTATCATCATCATTAGCCAAATGTGTTTCCTGTTGAACAGTTACCTTAGGGGAATTGGTTCTAACTGTAGGAATAACGGTCCAAGGGCTCGCTTTAAACCCATGCTCTGCCCCTGCAGGGAGAGACAGGTAACCTTTCTGGGAACCCCAATGCGCACACCCCTGTCTCCACCCTTCCCGAAGTTACAGTTTGATCTGAGAATACAAGTGGCTCACAAGCCAGCCCCGCGGCCAGGCACCCGGTTCTCTGCAAAAACCCTTTGCGTTTTGCAGGAACGAAGGCCCCCCCCCCCTCCCTCTCCCCCCAAAGTGGCTGAGCCGCGCGAATGCAGCCTGGGGGGGGGGGGGGATGGGGAGGAGTAGATCTGCAGCCCCATCTGGCCCCGCGCCCCCTCCGGGCGGCACACCTGCCCCGCGGGCGCTCACCTGGGGCAGGGCCCGCCCCGCTGGGAGCGCGCGCCACGCGGGAACGGAGGGCGGTGCGGGCAGCGGGGCGCGGGCCGGCGGGGGTGACGGGGCCGCCCCGGCTCCCTCCCCCCCTCCCTCCCTCCCTCCCTCCGGGGGAGCGAGCAGACCCGGCGCCCCGGGGGCGTGCTGGGGATGGGCGCGGTACCTTTTGGACAGGTCCATGAGGACCCCGGAGAAGAGCTTCTCCCCGAGGCGGAACGACACGACGAGCGCGTCCTCGATGATGTGGTCCAGCGTGACCCGCACCTCCGAGCCGGGGATGAGTTGCGACACCGCGGAGTCCCCGCCCGCCGGCGGCAGCAGCGCCGGGGCTGCGGGCTGGGGCGGCGGCGGCGGCGGCGGCGGCTCCAGGCGCTCCTCGGGAGCCGGGGGCTGCTCGGGCGCTGGCGCGGGGGAAGCGGGGAGGTCGGGCCCTTCCTGAGGCGCGGCTGCTGCCGCCGCCTCCTCGGCCACCTGGGCGGGCAGCTTCTCCTCAGCCTCCGGCTTCGGCCCCGCCGCCTCGGGGCTGCGAGCGGCGAGCTCCCGCGGCGGCGAGAGCGGCGGCTCGCCGGCCTGAGGAGCGGACGGCTGCCCGTCGGCCTCGCCGTCCGGCACAGATGCCTCGGTGGCCGTGACCGGGAGCGTGTCAGTGCCGGCCTCGCTGCCGGGGATGGGCTCCATCTCCGGCTCGGCCTCGCCGGCGCCCCCCTCCCCGGGGGACGCTGCAGTCGCCGCCGCCTCTGCAGCCACGGCCGCCATTTTCTTCCTGGCTTCTCCCTCCTCCAACTCCGGTTGCGGCGGCGGTGGCGGCAGCGCTGCTTGGTTCCCTGGGCCTTCCCCTCCCTCCCGCGAACTGTTTCGTCCCGCCCTTCCACTGATGCTCGTTATTGGCACCGCGCCATTGGCCGCGTCCTCCACTCCTGCCTCGCTTCTGATATGCCATTGGCCAGGGCCGGACGTCTGTTATCTAGTCAGTCCATCCCTCCCATGTAGAGTAGAAACTTCTCATTGGCCGGGTGAGTTGTCAAGTGACCAATGGGAGTGGAGGGGCGGGCCCAAAGTGGGCGGAGAAAGTAAAAAAACCTGAGCCATATACTTAGAGTTTCTCACTATTGGCTAGGAGAGGAAGTAAAATGTTATGGTTGGCCTGCACTCCTGCCCTTTATCAGCCAGGCTTTCAGAGAAGGGAGAAAGGAGGGAATCACGTGGCGAGCCAGTTCTTTCAAAGGCGAGTTAGGGGAGAAGCGAGCGAATAAGGGAGGGGAACTGCTTCCCAAGAATCACTGCGCAGTGGGTCTTTAGAATAAATGTTATTTCTAGGCTCGGACTTGCGTGCGGCCGCTTGTGACTTTCACAAGTTTCCTTGGGAAAGACAACTAAAGTTTGAAAAGAATTCTGCAAACACGCTTTGAGTCCCTGGTACGCTAGGCACCGTGCTAGGTGCTGGAGATAAAATGATGTGCAAAACTACAACCTTATGGTAACTAGTCCAGCCCCACCCCGGGAATGTTTTCCTTGACTTCACTTTCTAGGAAAATGCTAATAAGAAGCACAATAGATTAAGCTAATGAAAGTTTCTGAAAGCAGTCTTTGAGGCTCCCACGCTAATACTGCTTGTTCTCCCAAAATCACTAGAAAATGGGTGCGCCTGAGTCCTGAACCGTTTATTCTTTCCTGTCTTCTCCTATGCCACTGATACAAAAAAAGTCTCCCTCTTCAGTGTCATAATGCTCCTATTATTCTATTCTTACTTTAAGCTCTTGGTTTGGATGTCTGGAAGAAGCTACTGAATCCATTTCTTCCAAATTGCCCTTCAGAGTCAGCGTTCTCTCCAGAAGAGATTGAAGGCACTGAGAATACCTACAGAAGGGAGAGGAGAAAAGTGGGCCGCATTAAGGAGAGTAAAATAAAATCCTAAAGGATTACAGCTAACATTTGAGAACCTACTATGTACCAGGCACTAGTACATTCACTTAGTGTACCATCACATGTAATACTTACAATATTCCTATGAGGTACTATTATTATACTTATTTTATAGATAAAGAAATTGGGGTGCCCAAGGTCACTCAGCTAGTTAAGTTGCAGAGTCACAATTCCAGCTTTACACTGGAAAAACTGAAAATAGCAAAAAGTAAATATCACCATATGCTCTATTTTCAAGCCACAAGACTGTTGAGAAAAGGCCAGTAGGAAATCCCTGTCAGGGCAGGTTCAGCATCTCCAGAGTAACAGAAGGAAATGAATTTACTCTACCATAGGTTTCTCATAAGCTTTCATTTAAATGCCTGCGCTAAGTCTTCTTTCTCTATACAGATAAACTGACCTTAGCCAGGTTAAGGATCTTCTTAAGGGTCATGCAGATGGCTAGTAGCAAATCCTATCTAACTTTCTAAGTGCATGATTGTTTCACTCAGTTACTGAACAAATAACTTCTCTCCTGCAGGCCTCACTGCAGTAAATAGATGTGGATCCCACCTTACAGGGTCTTCACTATGATCACTTTATAGTTCACCATTATCAATTAATTAAACACAGGGAGAAAAATACAGCTCAGGTCCTAGATTCCAAATACCTCTTGTAGTGATTCATTGCAAGACACTGCAGTGAATTATTTAAATTAAGGATTTATGGCAGATTGTGGCATACCAAGTTACCCCCCTAAATCATTTTTTTTCATTCTGCAACTCAAGAACTTCTACTAGCTTCCTGTGTTCCCATCAAGTGTACCTTCTTTTGCTTGTCTTTCAAGGCCCTCTCAGTTCCTACTCTACCTCTCAATATCTCTTTATATGGTCATGATTTTTTTATCCATTTATTCAACAAATAAATATTGAAGTCCTACTACTATGTGTGTGTTACTGGACTAGGAAGGCAGAAATCATGCGGGGGGGGGGGGTATGAAAGACTTATTTTTTTTTTTTATTAAATTATTATCTCTGTATATATCTTAGCATTGCCCCTCCCTCCTCCCCCCAAATGAAAGTCTTAGTACCTGGCCTCTCTGGACTTATTTTTATGGTTAGGAAGTTAGAAAATAAAGAATAAACAACATTATTGTGAATTGTGACCAATGCCTTAAAAGAAATAAACAGGGTGAGGTGATAGGGAGTAACTGGGGAGGGGGAAGAGAGCATCTATTTTAGATAAAGTAGTCAGAAAAAGCCCCTCTGAGGACAATACATTTTAGTAAGTTGCAAAGGATAAAAAGGAGCCAGCTATTAGTATTGCTTGATGAATATTTGGGTCAAAAGGAACAGCAATTGCAAAAGTCTTGAGGCGAAAGAGGTCTTATTCCAGAAATGGAAAGGAGACCAGTGTAATTGAATAAGTGGGTAAGATAAGATTGAAAAGGAAGACAGGAGCCAATCATATTTTATGCCCTACAGATACAAAAACAAGAGATACTATCCTCAAGGAATTCTAAATCCAGTGAAAACCTAGCTTTCATAAGTTTTGTTGGATTCTGGTCACTTCTGTATTCAGCTTCCTCCTGGCATTAAATCAGCAAGGCCCATGGTATTTGTGGAATGGATAGCTCCATGGTATTTGTGGCTGGCTGGCTGGCTGGAGGATTGGATGGGTGGTTGGATGGTGTCTTAGTTTCTTCAGAATGCTAGAACCAAATACCACAGATTTAATGGCTTATTAACAACAGAAATTTATTTCTTACAGTTCTGCAGGCTGGAAGTGCAGGATCAGGGCACCAGCATGGTGAAATGAATGTCTTTTTTCAGGCTGCAGACTTTTCTTTGTATAATCACATGGCAAAAATGGGCAAGGGAGCTTTCTTGGAGGCTCCTGAGAGAGGATGAGAGTGGGAGTGGGAGTGGGGGTGGGGGGTTCATGGAAACTCTTACACTCTGCTTTGACCTTAGGAAGTCCTACTTCATCACCCACACAGTGGACTTCCCAGGGAGACTTCATTTGAAATAAAATATCCCATTGCTCACAATAAGGTCACACCCTATGAAATCCTTTCACTGGGGAGGAAGTGGTGAAGGTGCAGACATTAAAAGTCCGAATCCTTCTCTCTCTCCTTACTGATGTTTCTATCTCTCTCTCTCTCCCTTCTCTGAAATCAATAAAAAGATATTTTTTAAAAAGAGTTTGAATCCTGCCCAGCTGGTGTGGCTCAGTGTTTGAGTATCAACCTATGAACCAGGAGGCTATGGTTTGATTCCCGGTCAAGGCACATGCCCAGGTTGTGGGCTTGATACCCAGAAGGAGCATGCAGAAGGTAGTCAATTGATAATTCCTCTCTCAACCTTTATGTTTCTTTCTCTCTTCCTCTCTGAAATCAATAAAAAATATATGTATTTTTTAAAAGATATTAATCTCATTCAAGAAGGCCCTGTCTTTATGACCTAATCACCTCCCATATGCCCCAACTCCTAATATTATCACCTTAGGGGTTAAGGTTTCAACAAATAAATTTTGGAGGGACACAAATATTCAGACTATAGCAGATGGATAGTTGGTTGATTAGAAGATGACTGCAGCAAAAACCGGTTTGGCTCAGTGGGTAGAGCGTCAGCCTACAGACTGAAGGGTCCCAGGTTCAATTCCGGTTAAGGGCATGTACCTTGGTTGTAGGCACATCCCCAGTAGGAGACGTGCAAGAGGCAGCTGATTGATAACTCTCTCTCATCAATGTTCTTAACTCTCTATCTCTCTCCCTTCCTCTCTGTAAAAAAAAAAAAAAAAAAAAAAAAAAAAAAAAAAAAAAAAAAAATCAATAAAATATATATTAAAAAAAAGAAGAAGAAGAAGAAGAAGATGACTACAGGAATGGATGGGTGGCTGGGTGGAGGGATAGATGAATGGCAGAGATAAGGAATCCAGCTGACTACTCAAACACATCTTCACTGTCACAGTAGACTTTGATCTCAAGCTCTGTGGAAGATAACAAAGTTTAGTGACTAAAAACTCAGATGGAAATTAATGAATGAATCTGTATGTGACTCTCAGTCAGCCTCTGACTAGCTGTATAATATGTGCAGGATGCAGTCTTAGGCAAGTTGTTTAAACTGTTTCCTCATTTATAAAATAGCTTAATAATAACTAGCATCCTATCAGGTTGATGTGTTTGTTTATAAGTTATGTAACATATATAAAATGCTTAATATAGACTCTAAATCATCATAAGTGTAGTTTCATAATTGTTAGCAACTAGATCTAGAAATTCCATTTTATCATTGCATCATCTGGGGTTGACCATACTCCAGGGTTCTGACTTCCAATAACCAAACTTGTGAAAAGCCAAGTAAAAACCCAAATACTGGGGTATTAGTTCATAAAGAAGGATAAGTATCTCTAATTGTGACTTAGTGGGGTTTTTTTCTTTTGTTTTATTTTTCTGGGCCTGGTCTCTCAGGAAATCAAATTATAGACAGAGGGTAGCATGGGGACCAGAGACTCAAGACTCAGAGCACATTGCTGTGAGAGGTGGCTGAGTGAATTACTTGTCCCATTCTACACCTATTTCTGTCCAGGTAACCATTATTTCTCTTCTAAAATCAGTCACTTATTCCCAGACCAAGACTGTGATAGATAACTACTGGCAAACATGTCAATCACTGGCTCTCTTTCCATGTGTCTCAGTGGTTCTCAATGTATCAAGGGATCTCACTGAGAATCTGCTAAAAAGCTATTTTTTACATACTGTGTGCACTCATTTGTATAAAGTACAAAAACAAGCACAAAAAAAAAAGTATGCTGGTAGAAGCTAGCATTTATTTTATCACTTTGTCTGTGAG